GCTCTTCCCGCCCTGCGCAGGCCCCAGTTCCACTAGGAGGCATCAGAGGGCTCCTTCGTGGGCCTTAGAAGGCCGACACGAGCCGGCCCCAACCTCTGCAGAAAGGCATGGGCCCCTAATGCCCTCCGCTGTCCCCACGGAGCAGCTGTCCCCGCCCCCGTCCTCACTGCCAGTGCAGAACGTGTCGTAATATGTGTGTGCAGGGACATGCACACCCACCCGTGTGCGTCCTGCCTCTTCTGCCCCGGGGAGACCGGAGCCCTGGTCGAGATCAGGTGCCTATGACTGGTTCCTCCGCTGTGTGGCAGTCTTTGTGCCGTGGTCGTGATTAGTCCCTGCACAGTTGTCCTGTGTGTTCCCTGCATCCGTTTGTCCAGAGGTACAGCCATCAGGCTGAACAGAAGGGCCAGTGAGGAGAGCGACCCACGCCCTTTGCAAGGCCGGTCCGGGAGCCCCAGAGCAGCAGGCGCTGTGCCCCGGGGTGCTCATCTCCATCAGAGGGGGGACAGGGGCTGTCCTGCTGGGTTCCCTGTGAGGGGCATCTGGCCCACCCAGCCCCAGCCATATAAGGGTCCATTGCACCCTGCTTCCCACAGCCTGCTGCTGCCTTCTCCAAGTCAGCAGTGAGTTGGTCCCAGTGTGGACAGGCCTGCGCTGGCCAGCCAGGGCCCAGGCCGCAGAGAAGCAGGAGGGCTGACCTCTTTGTCTTCGCCACAGGCCAGCAGCGCCAGCCGCAGAGCAGCCAGCCCGACTACAGCAAGGCCTGGGAGGACTACTACAAAAAGCAGAGTGAGTGCGCGGCCCTGGCCTGCCGGCTGTGGCTGCTTCTGTACCGCCTGCCCAAATTTACCTTTGTTCCCACCCCTGCCTGCCTGGCTGCCTCCAGGCCGCCCTTCCTCCTGGAGGCCTGCTGCCCTCCTCTTCCTCTCTGTGCTTCTCTGCCTGGCTCAAGGGCTTGGGGTGGATGTGGCCCCCAGAAGTGTGGCTCAGCCTGGCCTTATGTCCCCTCTGAAACCTGACGTTTCCCTGGGGTGCTGCTAGGCCCAGATGCAGCCGTGCAGGCATCTTGTTCTTTGCCAGAATGGAAGAGGTGCTGGTCTTCTTAACTGTAAGAAGCCAAACCAGTCTTTGGGGCTAGGGGTGGCGGCTAACAGCTAGAAGCCCAGTGAGTCGTTTCGGATTGGTAGGGAGCCCCACCTGTCTTCCTGGGGCAATCACTAGTGTCCTTACAGAGGTGCTCCGTGTGGCACCTGACACTGCCGCCCACTGCTGGACCAGCTCAGGCAAAGGCTCTAGAAAGCACTCACCCCGGATTTGTAATTGTTACTGGATCGATTGCCCTTCTGGGGTTGTGGTACCAGGGAGGGACCCGGTGAAAGTTCAGGTGTCTAGTCTCCCCACACCTCCCAGCTCCCTGTTTCCAGCTCTCCATGGGACCTGGGCATCCCGCCTTGGCGCGCCTCCCTCGGTGCTCTCGTCTGGCACCGAGAGCTGGCGGGCAGGCAGGGGTGGAGGGCACTCCTGTGGGAAAGATGCCGAGAGGGTTTGTTGCCACGCGGGCAGAGCAGAGGCCAGCCCAACAACGCTGGGAGCAGACACCAGGGTCTGCAAGAAGGGATGGCCCTCCATCCCCACACTCTTCCCTGGGCGCTCCCTTAACCCACGTCTCTTCCTTTGTCAACCAGGTCACGCTGCCAGCGCTGCCCCTCAGGCCAGCTCCCCACCAGACTACACGATGGCCTGGGCAGAATATTACAGACAACAGGTCGCTTTCTACGGGCAGACGCTAGGGCAAGCTCAGGCCCACAGCCAGGTCTGTAGCCAGGCTCTAGCACTGTTCACCCTGCCCAGCCAGCCCCGAACCCTCTCCCAAGCCTGCTGCATTTGCCCGATCCTAGGGTGGGACCCCCGGGGAGGAGGAACAGCTCAGACCCTCTGCCCCGCTTCAGGCCAGTCTTGGTGCTGTGGCTCGCTTTCACCCTCTGGGCAGGCCGGGCACTGCACACAGGGACTCTGAAGGGCACGCCCCACTGCTGTTTGGAAGAGGGTGGCAGCCTTGCCTCCAGTCGGCAGCGGGCGGTGTGGGAGGGCAGGCCAGGTCAAGCCGGGTGCAAGCTCGTCTTCTTGCACAGAACCTGGAGGGCTCTGTCCAGCCAGGCCAGAAACGGATTTCTTATTAAAGGAAGGAGAAGAGTCAAGTGCCCCCACAGGAGCCTGGTGCCAGCTGCTACCAGGGCTGGGTGCTGCCTCCCTCTGTCCTA